TCAGAAATATAGACAGAAACTTTGTCACCTTCCAAATCTATGTAGCTACCACATTTTTGAATTACGTGTTCTACGAAAAATACACGTTCTTCAGTTGTTAAAACTATACAGGGGTGAAATCTGGAATAGAAAAATATAGAAAAGGGGGGGGGGGGTGATTCAAAACATGTGGAATTAGTAAGGTGGATCTTGGCTGCAAGGTTCTGAACTGCTGGAACTAAAAGAAAGGAGCTGATCTGAACATTTGCCATGTAAATAGCGGTAGAGTAGCTACGGGGTTGTGACGTTGGGTCTGTGGCAAAGAGGTTGCTGTTGAAATAAAAAGAATGATTTACACAAACCTTTATGGAGGAAAAGGGCCAGTCTGCTTGCCTTGAAAATCAACATTCTGAATTTTGGTTTTTATGACGGCTTGAACGCTGGCGGGGAAAACGCCTCCGTCACTTGTCTAAGAAGGATTATTCCTAACTTGGAAAAGTCGATCATTAAAATTAATCGACACAATTTTGTTTTGATAATAATATAAACGTTATTTTTTTTTTTTTTGTTTTTTAGTTTTTATGTCTTCTAGGTTTCATGCCTTGAAATGATTTCCTATCTTTTAGTTCTTTTATTTTTCTGTCCTTTAGACTTTTAATATATTCTATACCAATTTGTTGGCTCTGGAAATAAACGAAAATAGAATGTTTTCTTTAAAAGCCTGACTTTATTTAAATATTTCTCGTGAATCTCATTTTCACATGAAACAGTCTTTTGTATACTGTATCATACTTATTATAAAACCCAGGTTGTGTGTGTGTGTGTCTGTTCGTTTATATATTGGATCGGATTTCCTACATTTTTCAACCGATTTCAACAAAACTTCACAGGACTACGTAAAATTACCTTGCGGTGGTTCTGACAGCGCCAAAAATTGGAAAAACACAATTGTTTTTGCACGAAATCAATTTGAAAACACGATTAAGAGGCATCGCTTTCGCGAGAATGAAAGGGGGACAACTCATATCGAGTTATACTTACAAAACCCAGGTTGTTTGTGTGTGTGTGTGTGTGCGCGCGCGTGTGTGTGTGTGTTCGTTTATATTATGGGATCGGATTTCCTACATTTTTCAACCGATTTCAAGAAAACTTCACTTTTTTTTGGCAGGTAGTGTTTCTTATTGTCTTGCACACTTTTTTTCTTTATTTTTACATTCAGAATGCTTTAAAAATTTCATTTACAAGACAATTGTTTATAATAAAATTCTATTCAATAACGATTGAAAACAATGTTTTTGTTTGAGTTTGGGTTTGACCAATTCGTAAAAAAAAAAACTAATTAAGACATGCGTGTCTGTCAACCTTAAACAATAATCTTTGTCAATTTTATTTTTCAGTCTTTATGATGGTCGATACTTGATCTATCTCTTACTGTTACATCCCCGGGTAACGCCGGGCTCTACTGCTAGTTTTAAATAAAATAGACATCCGGATTTTTTTTTACTGTAGTTTAAACTCGTTATATCTATGTAGCCATTAATTCACTGTCATTTTCTTAATTCGATATCATATTGTAGTGAATCTAGGAAGGCTGCGTGACTATTTAAAATTGTGCTGCACATAAAATATACAATATCCACAAACATAAATTATAAGAAATGGACAAATGGTAACGATATTCAATCACGACAAAAAATTCATGTTTGAAACAACAGATTAAATTTTATATACAAAATTTACAATTTCTTTGTTTGTAATGATGCGTGCAAAGGTATAGAGAAAAAGTTCTTTACTGTTTCGGAAATGTTCAATGTCTAAAAAGTTGTCTGCCTTTGATTAAAATGGTTGAATTTAACTTAGACAAAAGATTTTTCTATGAAAGATATTGAGTGAAAAAGATTGTTGTGTAAATTTTTCTAATCTCTCATAAAGAAAGTTTGCTGCTTTGGCGACACATAATTCCCGTGTGTATCTTTCGCGTGTGTGAGTCTCAAATGCGACGAAATTTCGTTTACTATTTCTATTTATAGTTTTTTTTAAAAAAACGAAATCGGCTCCAACGAGGCTTGGTAGCTGTAGCGAATTTTTCTGAGAAATACGTGGGCGAATTTTGTATTTTTTTTATTTTTTAGCCAATAGGATTTCTTGAAACATTTAAATTAGAGATGAATTTGAGAAAGATTTTTTTATATCGGTTGAGCCTGCTTTTGCACAAATTTTGACTTTTGTTATAGAAATTTCTCGTAGCTTATTTTATATTTAACAACAAATGAAATTCAAGAAAACGTTTGAAATTGAAATGAGGGTTACTAAAATATAAACAAGTGTCGATATGCCATTAAATCAATTAATTTCTCTATTTATCGTTGGTTAAATGTGTTAAATGGTCTTGACAAAGTCGAATGATGAAACGTGTTGGCAAGGACTAAGTACTATTTCCCGTTTGTCTATTTAAATTCAATTTGCCTTCTCTACAGATTTATTCTGAGAACTTTAACACATTGTCGACATGGAAAACAAAAATACGCTCTTAGCCCCAAAAATTATAAAAAAAAGGAGAAAGTTACTAAAATCCCAAAAGAGGCTTACACAGGAGCATCTTTTCTAAAAGAATTTCACGTAACTCCACAGCACCTCGCTTTTGATTATGAGTACTTGCCTTGATAAAGTCAAATGACGAAAAGCGTCGGCAAGGACTAAGTACTTTTTTTCGATTGTCTATTTTATTCAATTTGCCTTCTCTACAAATTTATTCTGAGAACTTTAATGCACACACACACACACACACATACACACACGTATATATATATATATATATATATATATATATATATATATATATATTTATTTATATATATATGTGTGTGTGTGTGTGTGTGTGCAAATATATAGAAAAGTAGGAAAGAACACGTTAATTAACACAAACAACACCGAAGATGAAGACCGATTCGGCATCATCTCGACTTTTGAAGCATTTTTCGCACAGGAAGTTGTCGAGATGTTTGAAAAAGTGATAATCGGTGGGCGAGAGGTCCGGTGAATAAAATATTAAAACTGATCCACCACGAGAGCCCAATGTATTTATCATTGCATAGCCTATAACTTACATAGCAAAAAAAATTCTAGAAGCTTGCGATAAATAATCTGAGCAAAGAGGAAATAGTTTCTTTAAAATGGAAACAGAACCTTATCTAGCGTAATGTTATTCGTAGCCGAGCGGTAAAGCACACTTACAAACGTTGTTGCAGGTTGTTGCAGGTTGCTGAGTAGTTCTTGATTTGAATGATGTTCAGCTGTTTGAAAAGTTTAACACTTGCATTGTAGCAAGTGTTAAACTTTTTAAACTGTTTAACTTGCTTGTTTGTTTAAAAAGTTTAATTATTTAACGAAACATGTCACATTATAAATTCAATAAAATTATAGATAAACGGTATGTAATTGATCAAAACATATTGATATATATATATATATATATATATATATTTCCGCAGCATGTTTTCATTGTGACATGTTTCGTTAAATAATTCAGACATGTTCTGTCTACTTATTTTCAATTGGATCCTTTCATATTCACGGATAAGCTTTTTGGTGTCATTATTGATGAACGAGTGAAAGGACTACCACTTGATGTTTAAGATAAGCCGTAGTCAATTTTGATGAAATCTTTTTCAAGGTTTTGACATGGTTCAAACACACACACACACACACACACACACACATATATATATATATATATATATATATATATATATATATATATATATATATATATATATCTTGTATAAAATAGACAATCGTAAATAGTACTTAGTCCTTGCCGACGCGTTTCGTCATTTGACTTCATCTCGGCAAAATTCAAATGTTGTGTAGTTACATGAAATTAAAAAAATAAAAAAATAAAAAGACGCTCCTGTGTAAGCATCTTTCTGGATATTAGTAACTTTTCATTTTTTTTGTTTTTGACTAAGGGGCGTGTTTTGGTTTTCCATGTCGACAATGGGTTAAAATCATAAAAAATAAAAAGTTACTAAAATCCCAGGAGCGTCTTTTTTAAGTTTAAATTTTTGAATTTTACGTGATTATACAACATTTCGTTTTTGTTTAGCGCCACTTGCCTTGATAAAGTCAAATGACGAAAAGCATCAGCAAGAACTAAGTACTATTTGCCGATTGTCTATTTAAATTCAATTTGCCTTCTCTACAGATTTATTCTGAGAACTTTCACACACTGTATATTAAGCTTAATTTTCGTTTTTCAGCTTCTGTGGTGAAGAATGATTAAAAATTAATCATTTTATGACTAGAGTCCTTACCTTGATTGTTACTGTTACAACATTTCGGCTATTACCCCGTCCGAACTTCTTCAGGTGTTGATCGTATTTGGTAACCTCCTGAAATGACGAACCGAACCATTTAGTTAATCCACGGACATTGAATATTTCCAATTTGCTCCCCATGCCTAAGGGGACGTAACTCGTATTGGTTAATTTTTAGCCGCCACGGAAACAGCGAATACGTTTTTCCCATTAAAATGCTTCCTTAACCAAACCAACATTTTAACGCCTGTGCCAACGATATAATAGAGAGATTAATTGATTTAATGGCATATCGACATTTCTTATTTTATATGATATCGAAGTAAGAAAATCACAGTAAATTAACTTTAAACATAACTTGAGTTTACACTAGAGTAAAAAAAAAGTTAAATATGGCTCTCGTCTAGATTAGATTAAAAAAGTTAGACGAAAGTCTGTTTAAACTAGATTGAAAAGGTAGATGTCAAAAAGGTAGATATAGGTCGGGTTTACGCTGAAGTCGAAAAGGTTGGCATGGGTGCGGTTTTGAATAGAGGCAAAAACGGTAACATAGTCAAAAAAGGAAGATATATGCCCGATTAACACTAGAGTCAAAAGAGAAACATTGGTCAGGATTAAACTAGATTCAAAAGGTAGACATAGGTCCACTTTACACTAGAGTCAAAAAGGGTAGTCTTCTGTCCCGCTTATAGGAATACAATCGGCTTATTCTAAGACTCGTCGACATAAACATGAGCATAGATAGCTAGATAGATAGATAGATAGATAGATAGATAGATAGATAGATAGAAACAGAATGAGATAAGTGTAGATAGAGAGATAGATAGATTGAAAAATAATGAATAGACTGTGATAGATAGATAGATAGATAGATAGATAGATAGATAGATAGATAGATAGAGAGATAGAAACAGAATGAGATAAGTAGATAGATAGATAGATAGATAGATTGAAAGATAACGAATAGATAACGTGTGATAGATAGATAGATAGATAGATAATAGATAGATAACAGAATGAGATAAGATAGAAACAGAATGAGATAGATAGATAGATAGATAGATAGATAGAGAGAGAGAGAGAGATAACGAATAGATAACGTGATAGATAGATAGATAGATAAATAGAATAGATAGATAGATAGATAGAAACAGAGAGAGAGAGAGAGAGAAAGATAACGAATAGACTGTGATAGATAGATAGATAGATAGATAGATAGATAGATAGATTGATTATGAAATACCAGTTTAGCTACAAAGGAAGCGTCTGGATAGCAAGGTCGATTTACTGCTTTTAAACTACAAATTTCCCATGATTTCCAGGAAATTTGTTGTTAAAAAGACGTAATTCGACTTTGCTCTCTAGACGCTTCGTAAACTGATATAGCACGTCAGGCTATATGTCGGTCCCGTGTAGGATACAGGTTCGATTCCTGTTGGACGACGCTTATTTTCTATGAAAAATTCTCGGATGTTCAGGCCGGTAAATGTTGTTAATACTGTTTATTATAAACAAAGCCTTTACTTAAAATATCTGCGTTTATATAAATAACGGATAACAATAGAATATATTAATGAAGATCAAGACAGAGAGGACGGACGTTTTTTAAAAGGTTATTATTTTTAAGAAGCGTCTGTCCTCTCTGAAATCTTATCTCATTTCCTGAAACCGAAACCTCTTTTTTTTTCTTAAAAATAAAGAAATAGATAATAATATTTTTTTTGCCTAAACAATGTTAAAATACTTTAAAGATATATGCGTCCAGCATCTTTATTTTTCTCCTTTTCTTATTTTATTTTCTGATTCATTTTAATTCATTTATTTGGATTCTTCTTTGAAAACCTAAAGAAATATCTGTTTACATTTCCTAAATGGTAGACGCATGCGGGTGAAGCACATCAATTCCTAGGAACGACAGCCCAGACACCAGCACATAAGATTTGATTATAGGTTTTGTACAGAACCAATCACACTTTTTGAAGGGCCGAATACAGAGACCTTGGTGCACTACGTGCCACAAGGTCCCCAAACGACCCTCCGCAGGTTTTGAACTCAGAGTTGGTCTACTTCTAGGTTATTTGCCATCCAAGGCTATAGAACCCAGTCTGTCCTGCTATTTACCTAAAGCTGGGGGGAGAAGAAGAGGATTCATACCTTTCCCAAGGGTATTAGCACGTAAATGAATGTAATGGATTCGACTGGAATTCGAACTCGGCTCTCAGATTCTTCAACCCGCTGTCCACTACTCAACCGTGCCTCCTGAATCTCTCTCTCTCTCTCTCTCTCTCTCTCTATATATATATATATATATATATATATATATATATATATATATATATATATATATATATATATATATATATATATATATATACTGACGTGAGTAAATCAAATAACAAATAATTCGTACCTGATGAGTTGGTAGAACAACGAAATTTTAAGTTGCACTTCGAACGTAGGTATATGTATGTTTATATATATATATATATATATATATATATATATATATATATATATATATATATATGATTGTGCAGCTTATATTTTATATCATAAAGAAACAATTCATACAAAGAATTAAATAGCAATGTTAATGTGATTAATGGCGAAATCCCGTTGCTAACAGCACATAATGAGACATTAATTTACTATCACTTCCCTGAATAATACGATCCTTATATTCAAGTTGTCAGATGGAAGACACATGCCAAGCACTTACGACAATTTCAAATTGTCATCTTCAGGGCACAATTTTCTTATATATATATATATATATATATATATATATATATATATATATTTTTATTCTAATAATTGGATTATTCTAAGTCTGTTTCACTTTAACAGATAAATATATATAACAAGAATGGATTTCTAACTTTTCAAAATTCAAAAAAATTCTCACTTGATCGATTTAAACATGAATTCTGGGGCTGCGACATCACACGCTCTAAAGATATCTTTTTAAATTATTCTATTTATTGACAGTTGAATATATATTCAACTGTCAATAAATAATTAATAATAATTTAAATAATTTAATAATTTAAAAGATATCTTTCGGTCTACACATCGTTGTCAGAGTATTTGCCTAATTTATAAATTGTATAAATTTGTTTATTATATATATATATATATATATATATATATATATATATATATATATATATATATATATATATATATATATATATATATACACACACGGTGTCCATAAAGTTCGTGTGCACTTTAAAAATGTATAACTTTATTTGTATTTGCGATAGAAATAATTTGTAAAAAGGATTAGAAAGAAGTAAATCTATATTTTTAAGGTTTTATTGAAATTTTATTTAAGTTTCCACATGTCCTCCATCATTAGCAATACAAAGGATAATACGATTTTGCAGTTCACGGAAAACATTTGCCAACTAATTTACAGTAATGCCTGAAATCACATGAGTTATTTTAGCTATACTTAAAACTAAGTACATTAAACTTTATAACATTTTTTACAGATTATTTCTATCGCAAATACAAATAAAGTTATAAATTTTTTAAAGTTCACACGAACTTTATGGACACCCTATTTATATATTGTCTCATGTGAATTTTTCAAAAAAGTATTTTATTAGAGGAATAAATAAATGTATATCTAAGTTCCAGCTACTATTTTCTTTATATAGCATGTCTTTTTAAAACTTGGATGAACATGGCTCTCCACATTTTCCTTTTGTCTGTCTTTTTATCAACCCTCTTTGTCCTTCTATTTGTAATTATATTTCCGGAAATCTTATGATCGAATACACTTTTTATACTTGAAAATAAAGAATTTTTTACCTAAACATAAACTCACGTCTGCGTTCAAGTATCTTTTTATTTTTTCCTTTTTCTTATTTCCTTTTTTTTTTCCATTTATTTTGATTAATTAATTTATTTTCATTCTTCTTTGAAAACCTAACGAAATATCTGTTTTCATTGCCTAGACTGAAAGATCGTTGGCCAGGCCCGATAAGCCAAATAAGTCCTTTTAGCGCGCAACCCCACCTCTCCGCGTTCAGAGTGATTCAAATCCAGGCTTCTTGCATCCAAATATGTTCTAATTGTCCACGTATTTACACGCTGTAGCACGCGAGCCGTGACACAAAGGACGTACACACCCATATATTTACAGAGAAAAATAAAACGCAAATAATAATAATAATAATAGGTATAATTATATTAAACACATATGGGTAGATTATAGATGCAAACAATTTTTATAATCACGAAAAAAGAGTCCGAAAATGCGTATACATTGAAATACATACACACACGGTCGCGCATGCGCATGAACTCGCGGGCACAAATTCATATGTACATACACAAAGGCATCAACAATAAGTCAGGCACTCTTCTCCACAAACCGGTTTCCATGGTAAAAGAATAGACACGTGGCTCTCATAAATCATTTTCAGCAGCAAGTCTTTTGATTGGCTGACGATATTTCGCTAACATTAGCTTAAGCAACCACCACCCCAACTTCGAAAGAGAAAAAAAGAAACGTAAATAAAAAAAAGAGAAATAGGTGTGTAGATAAAAACCAAAAGACCTTATCAAAGAAAGAAAGAAAGAAAGAAAGAAAGAAAGAAAGAAAGAAAGAAAGAAAGAAAGAAAGAAAGAAAGATAAACTAAACACCATGTCTTCGAAACTAAAGAACGTTAAACAGATCGGGCGGAGTCAGGTTGCGATAAGTAAGAAAAAAAGAAAGGAAAAGAAAAGAAAAAATATCTATCTCTTCTTAAGAAAGAAAGAAAGAAAGAAAGAAAGAAAGAAAGAAAGAAAGAAAGAAAGAAGAAAAAAAGAAAGAAAAAAGAAAGAAAAAAGAAAGAAAGAAAGAAAATGGAAGAGAAAAACACAGGGTGAGATTGAGGTGGGTCGGGTGGAAAAAGCGGTCGTGTGCGAGACGGGTCGAGTGAATTGAACAATGTTACTCTACCCGACACGCTCCTATTTCTCTCAACCGTCACCTTTCTAGCCCCACCCTCGTGCCACGGCTCTCTCTGGGGGTATCTGAAAACGTCTAGCTTTTCACCGTTCCTCGACATGACTTGAGAACTCACTCTCTTTCTCTCTCTCTCGATCTCTCTCTCTCTAACCGCTTTCAATTTGCACCCCCTCTCTCTCTCCCCTTCCCCATCCAGCAACCAATTTGTCTTCTATTTCCCTACCAATACACACAGGTTCTCTATCACTCCTCCTATCATTCCCTTTCTCTTTTTTTTCTACCTGTTTCCAAGTTGTCTTTTCTCTCCTTACATTTCAAATTTAACCTCTCTCTCTCTCTCTCTCTCTCTCTCTCTCTCTCTCTCCCTCAGTACGTCTCCCTCTCTCTATTTCTCACTTCACCCTCTTACAATTTGCCTCTCAACTTTATCACCGGTCGACTTTCTCTTCACCCAGAAAATTCTCTCACTCAATTTCTCTCTGAATTCTTCATTATTTTCTACCCGCTACAAATTTGTCTTCTCTTCCATCCACCTCCGCATCCAATTTGTTTCACTCGCCCCCCCCCACGCATATCATCTCTCTCTCTCTCTCTCTCTCTCTCTCTCTCTCTCTCTCTCTCTCTCTCTCTCAGGTTATCTCACAACCCTCTTCTCTCTCTCCCAATCCACCCGCATGATCTTGCCCTGTCCCTAGATTCTTAGTTCACGCTGGTCAGGAGTTTTGTTGTCATTGTCGT